TATTCTCCTCTATTTCACCCACTTTTTTTTTATCTTCGTTTCACCTGCAAAGAAGGCAATAAAGATGTTACTTATTAAAGGGTTACTGAATGTCAAAGATTATGAGAAAAAGAAAAACATTACGGAGAGAAAACAATAAAAGAACAGGAATTAAGAAGAAAAAAGATTACGATTGATATTCCATTCAAATTTTTGAAGAACAAACTTAACTGGAAAGCAAGAGGCTGGAAGAGAATTTCACATAAAGAAACTGTTAGCATCTAGCAATTTCAACTGCTAAATGATGAGACCTACCTGCCAATCTAGTAATGTACTTAAATTTTTAAAGATTGTAGATATCTGGGAAGCAAATAACCAGAAAAGAGTTCCACAGGGAAAAAGTGTGAGAAAATGAAACTATTAGAATAGAACTTATAGTTATATTTAGCTATTTCAACAATAAAGCAATGAAACTCAGTTATCAATCTAGTATTACACTTCAGTTCATGCAATCAAGGTACCAAGGAGGAGAGCTCATGACAACAACTGCCATGAAAATATTTATAGAAAAAACAGAGGGAAGCCATGCCATGGCAGTTGGAAAATTGCTGAGATGAAGATGACAGGTAGGACTGATAACATTTACAAACTCTTTGAATTTTGTCAAAAATCTCAAGATACATACCAGAACCACCAGGCCAGATATGGCAGCAATATTCAGTACACAAACAAATGGTATTCTTATAAAAGAAAGGCTGGGTTCCTTGCTATTAGTTGTAATGCAGAAAACAGAAAACTGCCAACCTAATAACTTCAGTACTTTTTTTTGTTTTAATCCTTTTGCCACATGAAAGGAGTTACTGAGTGTTAGAGAATATAAGAAAAAAAAAACATTAAGGAGAGAGGACAATAAAAGAACAAGAATTAAGAAGACAAAAGATAATGATGTTGCATTTAAATTTTTGAAGATCAACATTGACTGGGAAGCAAGATGCTGGAAGACAGTGCCAAGTGTCATAGAAGAAACTATTAGCATAGAACTTATGGCTATATCTAGCAATCTCGACTTTAAAATGATGTAAGCTTGCCAACAATCTAGTACTACACTTAAATTCATGACATGGTAATATGAAGAGTCATAATCTCCAGTAAGTCATATCACCAAAAAGTCATGACAGCCACTTTTATTAAGGCTTCAGAAGAGGGAATGAGGAACCATATCCTAAATGGGGAGACAAGGGATAAAGATGAGGAAGGAATGTGCCCACGCAATGTTACATTATTATTATTCATGTTATTCAGTTGTTTAATAGGATAGAAATAGAATAAAAATAAAGGGTGTTCCAATAACTTGGACCAATTTTAAATGTGAATTAAGTTTAGAATTGGTCCAAGTTATTGAAACACCTATAAAATTTGATTTGATTACTCAGTAGAAGGGAGACATTTATGGCTAATGATTTCAAATAGATTGGTGAATTTTATAAGATATCAATTCTGATTGGGTTGTATAATCTATCAGACTTGACTGTAGGTAAATATTGGTCAAATTTATACTTCAGTCTGCAAGCTTCTATCCAGAAGGTGGCCTTTTTGGTGGGGGTTGCAAGGGGTAAATAAATGAATAATAACCCAATGATCCTACCAAAATAGATCACATTACGTTTCTTTTGTGGAGCAGTTGTGAACATTTATCCTTGTCCTTCGACTGCTTCAATCATCAAGGGGACCCGAGAGCAGAAGAAATCAACAATTTTCTCCAGGCTGATCTCAAGAGTTCCAGCATTGTGATGTCCATCCACTCTTTAATGACTGATCAGCTCTTGTGTTGCCATTCCCATCAGTGTCTGCCCTGTTGTCCATCAGTGCCTTGCATGTTGGTCTTGCAGAAGCCGTCATACTGTGTGATGTGACCAAGCCATGTCATCTTCTGACACTTAATAGTGGTAAGAAGAGATTCCTGTCAGCCAACAAAACTTTCAACCTTGCTCTATAGTTGTTAGGTTTGATGCAGAGGAGTTTAAATGCCTGGATCTTTTTTCCTCTCTCGACCAGGAGTGTCTCACACCCATAGAGGAGGGTGGAGATGACCAGTGATTTGTAGAGATTGAACTTGGTCTGGAAGCTATGTTGCTCTTTCATATCTTTTCCAGTCTGGCTATTGCAGCTGTGTCAATCCATGTGCATATTTCTGCATTGCAGGTGACATTTTTTTGACAGGGTTGCTCCCAAGTACTTAAAGCTGGCACTTACTCTAGTCACCCATATGTCACAACCATCCTGGAGTGATTCAGTGGGATGTGCGACTTTTGTTGACATAGTGTTACTTCCTTGTGGTCTTTTCAGTGGGCTTTCAGACAGCTTGATGATGCTCATCGCCTCTTCAAGCTCTTGACAAACATATATATAGTTAAGATAATATATTCATCATTACAATTGGTTCTCCATAACAGAAATTACTTATGAATCAATCTAATACATAGTTAATTTCAAATAATTGGTGCCTAGCTGAATGACTAGAACATTACTATTTCAACTATAAGCCCTCAGTTTGAATCTTACCATGGTCAATTTGATGAGGAGGTGGCTACTTGATAATATTGACTTGGGAGGACCCAGTTTGTGGCACTGTTGGGATGTGCCTGAAAAACGCACCAAGGCTTGACCAAAGGCTTGTGAGTGAAACTGAAAGATGTTGATGGTTGTGCTGGCATGAAGTCACCAGTCATCATGACTGAGGGATTGATCATTGCTGGCCTTATTCAACTTTTGATCATACAAGGTTAGGCACTCTCTACCAGAAACCATAACTAAGCATTGAAACATTGGTTTCTGCATGATCACTGAGGTTAAACAACATTGAGTCTGGTCAGTACTTAGCTGGGTGACCACTTGAGCATACCAGTTGCTGTAAGATTGGATAAGTAGGTGATGTAATAAATAACACCTTGGAATTGTTAATTGGAGAGTTGAGTTCCAATTCAAGTTGAGTTCGTTATATTCACTTATGTGCAAATACCCTTGGGAAAAGTATGAATCCAACTCTTCTGACCCCAGCTATTGGTTAATTAGTGTTGTAACCTAGGGAAGGTTACTGAATAGAATAATCGCACAAAGGCCAGTAATGAATGATAATACTTAGGACAAGAACAACACATATAAGATTCGCCAGCGGCAAGTAGAAGTAGTAGTCAACTGCAAATGAGTCAAGTGAATTCCACAATGAATCTCCAACTGCAGACCAACATACAGTATTTACTACTGTATTTATGTGAATAGGGATATACCCATTATTGTCAGTAGGTATGCTACAACATATATTCAGTTGAATTTTTAGGTTTGTAGCCACATTGTGTCTCTGTTATAGTGGAACACACCTATTCTATAGTTAATAGAATATCTCATCTATAATAAGTAGGAGTAGTAAAAGTAACGAGTCAGTCGGCAGTGAGTTGGTGAGTGAGTCAATGTCTGACGACTGTTAGTCAGATATTAAAGTATCAGCCACCACAACTAGATTACTGCGTCATTACCTATTATATCAAGTTCCTAACGTTTTGTACGTTGAACCTATTTTAGGACCAACTTAGTACAAATACAAGCCTCCACTGTGAAACCACTACATAACAACTTGGCGACGAGGGATTCAAACTCATACGGAGGAAGAAAAACCTTTTGTACTCTACAACAGTCTCTAAATCATTATTATTGCAAAGAAAAAAATTCTGACAATCTAAAGATATTTTCTAGCTTTAAATAACCGACAAAGGGTTGATAAGCCATAGAAAATGAATGAACAAATGAATCAATCAAACAGTTACTAAGGTCTACTCAGTATAGTTGCAGTATAAATCATAGGTTGGGTCTGTGGCTGTATTGAAAAAAAAAAAATACAAACATGACAAAGCAGGCATTAGCAAGAGGCATTATCTAGCCATCCTAATAGTCTTCCAAGATCAATGGATGCCTTTCCTCTAATTTCATATACACATGTGAACTGTATAATACAAACTTTATTGTCATTACTCAGACTTTGTTCATAATTACTAATTTTTTTTCTATCCAAATGTATTTTTTTCTTAGTTTAATATTTATTCTTGTACAAACAACTTAGGATTAATTGCATTCTTTGTAAGGAAGAAAGAAAAATGAATAAGAATATAAAACATTATGAAGGGAAAAGTGATAGTTTCTTACCTATTTGTTAACCACTCTGAAAACTCATAATTGATGTTATTTCTATATAAGGCAACAGGTATTAATCCAAACAAGTTACATTAAATACAACCAACTACGTATACCTGTTTAAAATTGTTATTTTTCCAATTTTCAAATAACGTGTTGTATATTAGGATCAAAATTTTGAATAAACTCTGAAGATGATGTTTATTCTATTGTTTTGTTCAAGTATTTCTCAATCATTTTGGTCATTTTCAAGAACCATGTAGTAGGCAAGATTCTGTTGGTTACACACTGTTATTCTTTAGAAAGCTGAAAGTTTATAAACCCATGGTGACATAAGGTATAATAGTTAAGAGGAGCAAGGAATCTGACTGCACCAAAACAATGCATTTTTTTTTATATGCATATTAAATATTTCATACACACTTCATGATACTGTTTCTTGTGGTGAAAGATATTTTATTTAATAGTTATTTTGTATAATAATATTAGTTATTTTGTATAATAATATCTTCTAGAATTTTGAGTCATTCCTTGAATTGGATGCTGTATAATATTTTGGTATTATCCACTAATATTTGTCATATTGTATTTGTCATAGTTGTATTTTGGGTGTTCATTATGTGCACAAATTGCACTGTGTTTTGACAAGTGACAAGTCAGCCTACTGGAAATTGTGGTGCATGTGTGTGCAATGTAAGAATTTAATTCTGTTTTTTGATTGTTGATATTGAAGATGCAATCCTCCGAATGTAAGAGAATTCATAAACATTATTTTTACATTATATTGACACTGAAGCTCACCAAACCATGACATTTTCATTACTATACTTGAGTCTTATGGTCATATCACATTGAAGCACAGGCTCCTACATAATCACAGTAGTTAAGCAATGTTGAGTTTGGTCAGTACCTAGATGGGCGACTGCTTGGGAATACCAGGTGCTTGGATATGCGGCTGGTGTAATGGGTAATGGCCTGGAATTGTTAATCGAGAAGCTGAGTTTCAATTCCAGTTGGGTTTGATATATTCACTTATGTGCAAATATGCTCAGGAAAGGTATGAATCCACCTTTTCTTCCCCGAGCTATCGGTTAATTAGTAAAATTTATATCACTAAATCATTATTACCTCAAAAAAATTTCTTATAGCTTAAAAATCATTTACTGGCTTTAAATAACATGCAAAGGGATGATAAGCTGTAGAAAACAAATTGATTTCTTCTTTTTTTTTTTTTTTTTTTTAAACTAGAGGTCCCTAAACTTTTTAGATTATTGACTGCTTTATGGAATCTTTCAGACCTCATTGACCCTCAGATATGTACAAAAAAGAATATTGATAATAACTATTTTTTACTTAAGAGTAGAAATTCATTTGTCCTTTTCTTTTATTATTGGTTGTGAATAAAAATTTATTTTAGTTTTACATTTTTTTTTATTCCTTTTTCAATTTCTGTTTTACTTCCTGTATAGGAAGCTGGTTAAATAATAACAACATTAATGATGATGAAAAAAACTTCATAAATATTATAGGTCACAATAAACACATTATATAATATTAATATACATTTTTATTGAGTTGGCTGACACTATTAATGGGAAGAATATGTTTGGTGGGCAGTAGCAAGAGCATTGATATTTGGTTGAAAATTGAGTTTGTCACAAAAGAAGGCACATTGATAGTGGTTGGATTAGGAAATCTGAGAAATGAGTTCAAATACCAGTCAAGTTCATTACATTCACTTATGTACTAATACTCTTGGGAAAGGTGTGAATCCATCTTTTCTCCCTGCACCTATGGGTAAATAGCAGGACTGACTGGATCCTATAGCCATGGGTGGCAACCAGTCTAGAAGGACAATTCTGAATTCAAAACATTGAGGACCTAGTGTACAGACCCAGGGTGACACACATCATATTTTGTGGCCTTCTACTGTTGGTTAAGAGCTTAGTGAGGAGACGGGTGCTGTCAAGCTATCTGAAAGGATCAGGAAGAAAAATGAAAGTTTGTTTCTTCTGAACTCTGGTCATTCTGATGATGGAAGCAGCTGAAAAATTGATGAGTTAAAAATCACCTGACTTTCCAGGTTCAATCTATTTCTCTGCTTAATCAGAATTTTGCTTGTGTGGCTAAAACCAGCTTCAACCATGTACATAAATACAAAGTAAAAATGTCTCAAATGCTGTACTAAGCTTGGGATATTTAGTAATAGTACAAAGCTCCAGTTGTCCCTGAGGCTTTTATTTTTGAAAAGTGATTTAGCTTCAAGACCCACATGCATATTGATGAGTCTATCTTGGAAGTTAGATGTATTGTCTGTGTTTTCTATTTCTAAATCAAATGGTGTAACAATCCAATCAACTATATACATTTTATCAAGCCCATCAAAAAGTACTGGAAAGTTTTCACTTAATTTATCCAGATGCTTTGTGTACCAAGTGTAACAGCAAAATTGTTCAATTGTTAGATCAAGCTTTGAACTGTAGTACCTTAGAAATGATTAAAGCTATCTTACTGGAATTATTCAAAGTTTAGGTGCTATTGGACTCTACCTTGAACAATAACAATGTATTTAGCTCTAAGTTGAAATGATGATCCCTCTTCCTGTTGTGACCTCCTGATCAAGTTAAACTTATTCACTGTTCTCTTGATGGTTCATGAATGGACTTTGAAGATGGAAGCCAGAGTATGAATGTTGGTACCATTGGTGAAGGCTTCAATGATCTTTTTCCTCTCACCATTGCTCAGTTTGGAAGTTATAGTGGAGCTGACACAAAATGATATTAACCTGTTCTCTTTCTAGCTGAATAACTCAAAGGATTTTTCAGTGATTCTTACAACAAATGGTGTCAAGATGGCTAAACGTCTTATCTGAAAATCTGGGGAAAAAGAAAATCAATTAGTTTAGTGTTTTTTTTATTTTTTTTTATTTTAGATATTAAACATTTTGTGGGATGGACAATTATCACATGCTGTTACATTCGATATGACTCTAGGTAATAGTCTAATTCTTTTTTTTTTATTTCTTGACATATATGAATGCCACTTTGGGGTCTAAAACATTTAATCAACCCTGTGGAATTTATTAACCCTTTTTGCCCCCCAGAAACTTAGTGTCCCCTCCCCACTGACATTTATTGACACTTTGGATTGGGAGATCTTTGGTTTAAACTGATAACAGTGTAACATTTGAAAATATTGAGTTATTCTCCTGTTTGCTTTTGTTCTTCAACTACAAATGAACAAACCTAGCTGCCCATAATTAATACTTCAGTATATAACACCAAGGCAAAAACAAATAAACTAGAAGCCATTAAATAAAAATGAAACATTAAGTAAGCAAATATTTAATTTACTACATATATACCATTGAAAAATACATGCATGTGTGTGCAGGAGTATATTTTGTATAATCTATATACATATGTTCAAACAGCAAAGAAAATACTCCATAAACCCAACCAGCCATAATTAATATCCTAAAACAGGGGGAAAAAATCACTTAACCAGTTTATAAATTAATAACAAAGTACAGATACAAGTGAGTGTGCATGTGCATTTGTATACATAGATGTGTATGAATGTATATGTGTATGTATGCGCACATACATATGTATGTGTGGACATATGAATTCAGGCATAAGCATACAAATTAAAACAATAATAAACAAAAATTTAATTATAAACCTAACCTCCAAGTAATAGCCTAATAGTACTTAAGATACCACTAAATCAAATAAGAAAAACAAAATAATAGCCAGGTGAAAAATCTTTACTTTATTATTTAAGCATTAAAATTAATTATTTATGTAAAAAATGAAATACAATTTTCCTAACTCAAGACTAGAAGGCGCAAAAATTAAAAATGACTGCTTGTTTAGAAAAACTGAAAGCCAAAAGGCAACAACTGAAAAAAGAAAAAGAAAAAAAGATGTGTGAAAAGGTTAATGAATAAGTGTAAAGTTGTACAGATGTAAGATGGAACATAAGTGCAGATTATGAGGATAGGTAGCATAGATAACAGTTGACCTTTGACTTGAAGAGGTTAAATTGCAGTGATTGGGGAAGCATCCCTCTTGAGAGTTTGTTCTACAAAGTAGTGAAGAACTTCCTTCTTACCAATGAAATATCAAGGGAATGAAGCTGATGGTATTCATCTTTATAGTAAGTCAAATGAGGAAGTTGCTAGAGCCTAACATGTGTGCTGATTCTTTTAGACTTCTAGGGTTTTCTGTCTATGACCATGACATCCTTACCCTTGTATTCATTCCCACAACTGCAGGTGATGGAATACATGCAGTTTTCGATCTGCTAAAAGTGGTGGGAGACTTGGTTTGAGATAGGGTTGAATTGCTTTATAATACTCTCCTGAAATTGTATAAACCATAGCTCCTCTGAAAACTTTCTGATCACCACCTACATATGGGAGACTCCAGCTGATTTTTTTTTACTTGTTATCCTTGAATCTTCATCTTGGTATGTATTTCGTTTGCCTCGGTATTGTAGATAGTGAAAGATTCATACGTTCATGCTGTACAGATGACGGGAATTGAAACTCATGTACGATCTGCTGAAGATTGGCTTATAAATGTTAGAAATCTTGAATCTGTATTCTATGTGGGTTGTTAGTGCAAATGTTATCATTGTAAAGACTAATAAAGACAGGCTTATGGCCATATTGCGTTGAAAGACCGGTTCCTGAATGATCATGAAGTTAAGCAACATTGAGCCTGGTCAGTACTTAGATGGGTGACTGCTTGGGAATACCAGGTGCTATAAGCTTGGATAATGGCTTGGAATTTTTAATCGAAGAGCTGAGTTTCAATTCCACTTAGGTTTGTTATATTCACTTAAGTGCAAATACCCTTGGGAAAGGTATGAATCTGCCTCTTCTCTCCCCAGCTATGGGTTAATTAGTAAATCTTGTATCACTAAATCATTATTTAAAAAAAAAAGTTCGTATAATCTAAATTTATTTTCTGGCTTTAAATAACCTGCAAAGGGTTGATAAGCCATAAAAAATGAATGAATCAATCAATCACTAATAAGAACACCAGACTAAATCTCTCGTATTAAAAATTATTTATTCATCTCCTGACCTCATTAATATTGATACTGAGGTCTGTGGCTTTGTGTTGCCAAACCATTATTATCTCCAAAAATGAAATAAATTGCATATGAAATATTTGGAATTCGCCATTAAATAACCCATGTAGGTGTTGATATACTGCCAAGCAAAAACAACCAACCAATTAAAGTATTTCTCATATATGTTTACTGTTACTGTAAATAATAACAATTCTGTAGTGAAGCCTTCTTTCTCTCATTTGTCTGAAGCCAATTGAAAATATGTTGTCTTTCCACAGAATGTCAACATTTTCATGTTGAAACAACTGTATGCTTTCCAAGAGAGGAGTCTGGGTAGCAATACATAAACATGTTTGCAATAAGACAGATTGTTGAAAGGATGGTTTTTCCCATGACAACACTTTCTTAACTACCTTCACTCTTTGGCAATGTTAATTTTTTTAAAAAGCGATGATTAGGATTGTAAAAAAAATAAAATAAAAATAAATAAATGCACATACGAAAGTGAATTTATACATTTTCTTTGTTCTTGAGAATTTATAACAAAAATAATAAACACTATTTATTTATCAGATGGGCACCTCGACATGGTGTAATGGTTAGCAAGCTTGTCTTGCTAGAACATATTACGACTGAGTAGTGAGTTCGATCCTCACTGGGTGCTCCATACTTCCGGCCTTGTGCCACATCTAAGCAGCGCTTAGAAAATCATTTGGGGCACCTCGGTGTGGTGTAATGGTTAGCAAGCTTGTCTCACTAGATCAGTTACAACTGAAAAGTGAGTTTGATCCTCACTAGATGCCCCATACTTTCGGCCTTGTGCCACATCTAAGCTACGCTTGGAAAATAACTTGAGGGCACCTCGCGGCGGTGTAATGGTTAGCAAGCTTGTCTCGCTAAATCAATTACGACTGAGTAGTGAGTTTGATCCTCACTGGGTGCCCCATACATTCGGCCTTGTGCCACATCTGAGCTACACTTGAAAAATCACTATTTATTTATCAGATTGTTTATTTACACTATTTATGATATTGTTTATTGGAATGGTTGGCAAGACATTGGCTAATTGCCAATTGATTCAAACTTTATAAAATGGTAAATAATAAGGATTCCCTTATAGTTGGTTCCCATATTTTAATAATTTAGTAAATGTTTATTAATTTATGAAAAAGAAAATTGTTTTCATATTTATTTCTTTATAAATTAATAAATGATAAATATTGCATTAATTAGTTCTACCAGTTTTCAGAATGTTGTAAATATAAAATTATTCATGTAAATAAACAATTTAAAAAATAGTGCTTAATATTTTTGTTGTAAATTCTCAAGAACAAAAAAATGTATAAATTCACTTTCATCATGTGTTTAGGTTTTATTACAAATCTAATCATCACTTTTTAAGACAATAAACATTACCGAAGAGTGAAGGTAGTTAAAAAAAAGCAGAGTCATGTGGAAAATACATCCTTTTGACACTATATCTTATTGTTTATCCAAGTTTGCCAGAGTCTGATTATAATTTATCTCAAATCATTTTATTGGATAGACTCATAATGTCCAAGTTTCAAATGAATGAGAGCATCTCTGATGTTCTCCACAAAATAGACTGAGATCTTCATATACGATGAAGACATATTTGTAAAGAATCTACTAAATGGATGACAAACTGAGCCTCAACAATTAAGGGCCTCAGTGGAATATGAATTTTTAGAAGGCTGAATTAGCTGTTGATTGATTCTTGTTCTTGCTCAGAATCTGTGACAACTTCCACTTTATTTTCAGAACAGGATACATTTTTACTTTGTTGTAGCCATCAGCCCCCAAATAGGCTGACCAATTTTTCTGATTATTCCATCACTATCATTGCATTGCCCTTGTCTCTTGGCAGTATAATGCATTTGGTATCATTCTGCAGAAATTTGATAACTGTACTTTCCTCTCTTGAGATGTTCTATTTGCTTTCTCCAGGACTGTCTCAATTTTAATCTTAACACTGCAGTTTGAGCATTACAGATCCTCGAAGCTGTCTCCTCTCTTAAAGCAATAGTGAGTAAATCTGTGACTCACTTGATGATTGCTGTGTATTTGAGACCGGTGTTCAAAGGTCACTTCAGATTTCATTTGCTAATATTGATAACTGCTTTCAGAGACTGATAGTGGATATACATAATAGCTGTAGTTTCTGCATTTGATGTGCCTAGACTCCCTTTTCTAGATCATGTTCAGTTGTGTTTCTATCCATTTTTGATGTTATTCTGCCTATGAATGATTCTATCTGCTTAGAAACTTGATCCTGTACTTGACATTTCATCCAGCAGATATGACAGATTCTTTCCCTAACCAGAATGTGCCTTTTCGTGTCCTTCTGATTATTGTAATAGAAACATTCACAATATACATTTCTTTGACTTCCTTAACAATATGAACAGCTTATTTTCTCAGGTTTTCATTTAAAAATAAAATATCCTAAGAAAACAATAAAAGATAAATTGTTATATAGGAATAAATTGGTGCTGCCGACACTTGAATTTGAACATAGATCGCCAGTGAGCAAACACAGGCAATCCCATCATTGAATTAAGTAGACCATGTGACTATAGAGGAAATGCATAAATAGGAAGACGCATGATGTCTAGATTGATTTGGATTTTATTCTATCCTCTATTACTATATGGACCGCTATTCTCTACACTATTCACTATTTCTCTATTTGGATCACTATATGGATTACTATTTGAGTGAGTATTATCGAGCAAGTACTATTAGTGTGAATGATATTTAAAAGTGTCTGACACCAGTATTGTTCAATGGCATACTATAGTTTTATCTGCAATTACAAATTCTCTACTACAACGAGCATTCATTAACATTATAAAAGTGTCAAACGAGTGTTCATTGACATCACAGAATAAATAATCTGGGGTGGGGCACAAAATTTTGGCTTAATTTAACTTTCATACCTGCAAAAAAAAAATCTATTGAAAGAATTTTTTTTTTTCTCTTGGCACTGCTATTACTGTAAACTCCCTCAGTAATGTCTATTGTTTTTAAAAAGCCAGTTTTAGAATTTTAATAAAACCCAAATATCTGAAATTGGATTTATGCATTTTCTTTGAGAATTGATAACAAATGCACTAAATACTATTCGTGTAAATAAACAGTCTAATAAATAGTGTTTGTTGTCATTTCTCAATAAAAAAGACAAGTATAAATTCAGAGTGACCCTCATAACATTGTAATACTTCATATTTAAATGACCAATAAGGAAAAAAACATCTATAATTGTTTGAAAATTTAAGGCCAAATGTACCTGCAAATTTTACACACTTACAGTCTAGGTGTGCCTAAATACACCCACAATCACATGATCAACTAGAAGACCAACAATCTCTAACTATTACAAATTTGTAGATTTCCAAAACCATACCTCATAAGCAGTAATGCTAAAAGGAGACTAAATTTGGTAGCATTTGAAAGAGAAATCGATTTGTCTTATAAAATCAACGTGTAATACTTGCTTCTAAGTTATATTTTAATATATATCAGTGTAATTGTACTAGCATTTAGATGTTTCAACAATTTGGTTAAGACTTTAAAGATTTGACAACTGAAATTTCTTATGGGCTGATAGGATTCAAAATATGCTTCCTATATAAAATGAAATAATTTTTTTCATAGTTGTACTATCTTTTAGATAAAAACATACAGAGTGTTTCAAAGGTCTGTCACATTCTAAGAACTCTTATATCATGAACTACAAATGGTAGCATGATTCAACTGGTACCATTTTAAAATCTAAAAGTGTCAAGTTTTCTTCTGTTAATTTTAATTAATTAAATTTAAATTAGACACTATCTGAACACCAATCTACCTGACATATGGGTCAGACATTCCAAACATACTGATTGCATCTTCCAGTGATGGCTACCTAGGTTACCATGTGAATTCTCCCTCTGCGGTTATGCAAAAGGCCTTATGGACATACCTCTCCTTCCGAGAGATGTGGATGGTCTAAAGATGCAAATAACTGAAGCCTTGGTAACCATTGACAATGCTATGCTTGATTGGGTTTGACAAGAATTGGATTATCGTTTGGATGTTTTGTGTAACTTGTGGTGCTCACATTGAACACTTGTAAAAACCTTTATAGAAATGTGAAAATATTAGCTTTCAGGAAATTATAACTTGTTCTGATATCTTCAAAAGTTATTAAGAAATACAATCTTGTAATGTGACATGAACTTTTGAGACACCGTGTATTTTTGGAGGAAAAAAGTTTCAATGTTGTACAGTTTGATCATAAATAAAACCTGATAATATTCATTTTGATGATGTAATGTACTACTAAAAACAATAAAATCCTGTTATGTTTGGTTTAGAAGAAAATAAACTTTCTATAAAAAGTGGTAGAAGTGTACTCGTTTGTATGATACTGTAAAAGCCATAGTTATTGTTAGTATCAGAAAGAAATGATGGCAAACATGGATAAATGTGCCTGCAGTAAAAGTGTCAGAAGGATGTTTCTTCCCATGACACCACTTTTTTAAACTACTTTCACTCTTTGGTAATATTTGTTTTTAAAAAGCGGTGATTAGAATTGTAAAAAAAGCCTAAACATACGAAAGTGAATTTATACTTTTTCTTTGTTCTTGAGATTGATAAAATCCAAAGGTGCGTCAGCAATATTATT